AAATGCAACAGAAAAGTAACTTTCTTAAGTGAAAGAAAGAATGTGAGAAAGAAAAAATAGTCCAGAAATGGCTAGAGATTTCCTTCTTCAATTTACACTGTCTTCAAAGGTAAGAACAGGTAGGAAGTAGATAAGTGTTCAGAAAATACAGACTCTTGTAGCTACTTCAAATCTATATAATTGTAAGAAAACTCACTCAGCCTAGATCAAAAGAGTTCCTATGGCATTATTCTGTAGCTGGTATCTCCAAAGACAGGTGACATGTTATGTATGACAGGCACAGTGAGTTGGCTCCCTTTTATGGTCTATGTCATTTTCTATATTCTCCCAATATTATCAGCAAGCCACTCTAAGCTTAGAGTCTTATACTTTTATCTTCATTATCATCACCATGATGAACTCTCATCGATTTTTCCCATGGTTCTTTACATGTTCACTCTTCCTATTATATTAAGAGCACTGCCAGGAGGGTTGCAACATGTCTTATTTATCTTATTTTTCTAGTACTTGGACTACACTACCTGGCTTGTAGTAAGCAACCAGCAAATTTTTGTTAAGTAAACAAATGTAGAAAATTTATTTAAATGATGGAACGTTGAACATGTTCTTGAACAAAGCTAGAACTAATCACTATTACCCAAAGCAAAATATTTGAATTAAGGAAGTCTTTAATTCAAATCTTGGCTCAGTAGTCAATATTCAATAAGACTGTAGAGAGGATATGTGGAGGAAGGCATATGAATACCATTTATAGCTCCTTGGAATAGGCCAAAAATAAATGTCCTTTTCTTAAATAGCCATGTGGACAAAAACAATACTCAAGTAACAGTCCATTCTATATTAGATAAGTATAAAATGATTTGCACTAGAGGCTTTGTATTTCCTGCTGGAAATCCCTAAGATTAAACTAAACTTAAAAAAAAGTTAAATGTTAAAAAACAATTATATATATATATATATATATATATATATATGTATATTTGAAGAAACATGCACCAAGTACCAATGTGTATGTTAAAAAGACTATATAGTTTACATTGAATTCTTGTTTTTAAAATAAGCACACCAAGTACTAATGAGTATGTTAAAGACTTTTTAGTATACACTGAGTTCTCTTTTTTAAAATAAGCTTAAATTGCTAAAAATATTTTAGTATACAACAGATGAGAACTTTTTTCCTAGCATCAAATATATAAATCAAGGAATCTAGTAAAATATGTCCCATGAATTAGTTTCTCACTGAGTTTAAAAATGAGTGGCTCAAGTGCTGTGTTACCCAAAAGATGGCATGTTATTCTTGTACACAATGGTCATGTGAAGGAGTTATTTATATGGGATGAAGTAAAGCACCAAGCAGGGAATTTAAGGAAAAAAATTGCAAAAGAAAGGAAAAGAATTTAGGAGGTAAGAGTTCTAATTCCACCTTATTTTGACTGACTCCATCATTATGCTTTAATAAAAAAAGAGTGGCCATTCAATAATTAATAAAGACGATGAAGCTGGGATGGTCTCCTACGAGCAGCACAGTTTTGTGGTATAACAGAACTGGTTCTGTGGCTGAAAATCAACCTTTTATACTGTTTTCCTGATCTTCAGAAGTTCTTTAAAGAGTGAAAGACTTTGATGCTTTAAATATCATGAGTTTGTTATCAAAGATACTTGTTTGATCTACAACATCTGCAGACATAAGACAGGAAACTTGAAAGATCCTCTGGGCAGGAGTTAAACTCACAGTTGCTAGAATATTAATATGTAAGCTTTCTCTATGTATATCCACAAAGTTCTTATCATTTTGCTTTGAGACCTTGGACAAAGCCTAAGTTTGCAATGTCTCAGTTTTTCTTCTGTAACGTGGGAGTAATAAATAATACATACCTCTTATGCTGGTTGTGAGGATTAAATAAATGACTCAAACACAAATATCTATTGAGCATCTGTTATATGCTGAGGATACAGCAGTGAAGGAAGCCCTTACCTACCCCTTCATAGTTCTTAAAACACAGTAAGTACTCAATTAATTATGTCATTATCTTGGAAATGTCAGACAGAGCTCAAAGAGTGGGACTGTATGCAACTTGAATGTGCATACCATTTTAGAATTCTTGGTATATTTAAAATTTGTTGGCAAGATGAGAATCTACGGCAGATTCAGAATTGGGATTCTTTCCATACTCCTCATTCTTGTCCTTTGAAAGGTACTACTGGTATAGGTTGACTTTAGTAGGTTGTGGGCTATATTTTTATCCTTTGTATTGTTAACTGTGGAATTTCAAATACTTTTGCTAAGTAACTAACCTATGAGGTTATTTCCAAGCAGTTTTCATTATAGCAAAGATCTGAATGTGACTCATCACAAATTCTCTTTGCACATATGTATCTGGTACTCTTACATAACAGAGGTGAGGTGCTGGCTACTGGAACATACAAAGTAAAAAGTGGAAGTTTCTTGATCTCAATTTATTAAGGGTTAGAGCACTGATAGTTATTTGGAGTTTCAGAAGTCTTCTGTGACTGAGCAGAAAGTCCACTAAGTGAGAAGATGAACATGACAACGGATAGTATAAAGGATAGTATTGTCAGGTGTCCACATAAAGAGGGAGAAGTAATGACTTTGAAGTAGCCATGGCAAATAAGGAAGAGGTGGGACCTATCATCTAACAAGTATATGGGTCAAGGAAGAATGAGCAGCAAGCATTTGAGAGGGTTGCAAAAGAATCAATGCTTTCTGTGGAACGTGAGGTTTCAAGACAGTTCTAAATTATGTATGGGAGTAGCTGAACAGTTCTAGCACCCTAATGCCCGATATGGCTCTGCTTCCAGGTGAATCCTACTGAAGAGGTTCTGGGTGTTGGAAGGACTCTACCAGTCACTCCACCAGAAGTCAGCAGAGTCCATCTTTGGTGGAGTTCCATGGAAATCCTACACCAGCTGGGCAGGCTGGAAACAGACTCCAGAGTCTCAAACATTTATCATGTAATTACCATTGCCCCTCCACCCCCACTTCCTGGCAGATTTTTTGGGGGAAGGTATTGCCATGTCTGAAGTGAATCACACACAGATTAACCCTATCTTTAAAATTTACATTCACTGAGATTATGAATCTTCAATACCATTTTAGATAAGAGTTTAACATATATTAGAGGCCAAAATGAAGAAGTTAAGATTAGCTATAACATTAGCTTATAGTTGATTATATGACCTTTTATTAGTAATTTTTAACTGTTCTGTACTACAGCTTATTAGAAAAATGTTTGGGATAATGTCTTGACTACTTTCTGCTATCGCAGGCAAATGAGAACATATTCGTAAGAGTTCTTTAGAACAAAGGAATAAAACACAGATGCCTTTAAACATAACTGCCAAACTAGAAAATCTTCCTAAGAAAATTATAATTGATAACTCAATGCAGAGAGCAACAACAAAAGGACAGGATTTAGCATTTTTAAGATATGGTAAATATTGAAAAATAAATTTAAACTATTTTGGAATGAACTGACCACAATTCCATTTAGAATCAGACCAATCATAACACTCTTACACATATGTAGATAGACACATACATACATACATACATATATACATAAAAAGATGTTTACTGTAGCACTGCTTAAAAATTAATAATTATGGGGATTGTGGTTCAGTGATAGAGTGCATGTGTGAGGCTGGGTTCAATTCTCAGCACCAAATATAAATAAATTTACTGGAAGAATTACAATTGATAACTGTCAATTACTTACATGAAAAACACACATATCAAACACATGTACTCTGTTTTAATCTGAAATTCATTTCAACAGAAAGCCATATTAATTTTTTGAGCAAAAGGCACACTTCAATGGTAAAAAAAAAATAAAAACGATATCTGTGGTTTTCTATCATGTCTTTGAGAAGTACACATTATAGGGAAAAGATTTTTTTGTGCAGAATTTTAATAGTTAAGTAATGCTTGAAAAAAGAAAGATAGCTAATCCTTTCATGAATGTCCCTTTAACCAATTAGATCAGCACCTAGGTATGAACATGAAAAATGACTTTGCACTGATTAGCTGTTAATACAAAATAAACATATGTTACTGCATAGTAAGGGATGCAATTAAGAGCTAAAATGACAGACCCTTAATGAGACATTCATTAGGAGTAAACTGAATTTAAAAACTATATATTCCACAAAGCTGTATTTACTTGCTTTAACAGCCCTTCTGGTCTCTGAAATTGTGATGAGAACTAGCTCCCTCAGCTTACACACATTTACAACTGATGCAATGTTCAATGGAATATTTTTAATGTGCTGCAAATAACTGAAATGTTGTCTAAATTATTTTCCTTTTACTCCTAAAAATAGAGCTATTCAGACTAGCATATTTAAAGTTTTAGATGAACTGTCCTTCTTGCCTAACACTGTTTATTATTATACCAGTAAAAAAATCATCAACAAGCAACATTAAATCAGACTTCTTATGGATATAAGTAATTGCTCAATGTGCATTTATTTTCTTTTTCTTTTTGGTACTGGGGATTGAACCAAGGGATACTCAACCACTGAGCCACATCCTCAGCCCTATTTTGTATTTTATTTAGAGACAGGGTCTCACTGAGTTGCTTAGCGACTCTCCATTGCTGAGTCTGGTTTTGAACTTGCGATCTTCCTGCCTCAGCCTCCAGAGTAACTGGGATTACAGGCATGCACCACTGCACCCGACATATTTTCACTTAAATATTCATGCATATGTACATAAATTTTGCATGTTGCTTATTACATATCTCTTTAATATCAACTTTTACTTGGCAAGCACATCAAGTAAAAGGATTAGCACAAGCTTAAAATATTTAATGATGCTGCCTCCTCATGAATACTGCACTGATATTCAGAGAAATGATTTGCAAGTTCAATGGCCAAAAGGTTATGACTACCATTCTATACAATGCAAAGTAAAAGTTCTTTTAGGTATACTGATCATTGCAAACAGGTACACTGCCCTCAATTATACGCAGTTTACTCACGTCAGCATAGTGGCCTATCATATCACATCGGTCACATCGTTTTCTCCAGGAAGACCTTTCGAGACATCTATGATTGGAAGACATAGGCAAAGAACAATCTAAGCAAAAGCGAGCTGGACAGGCATACTGGAGATGTCCTCTCTCAGAACAGAGGCAGCAGGGACGGACTTTCTGTGGCAGACAAAAAGAAAATCTCTTTAGCAAAACACTTCAGTGTCAAATAGTGGAAAATTAATATTTCATTTTCTATATAATTCCACATAAAATTATTTCTAATTTGAGACAACAATCCTAAGTATAACTGTAAAATCAAACAAAATGTTTGAACTTAAAGAGTTTTAACACAAGCTATTTATATGTCATGGTGCTGCAAAGACCTAGTATGACTAGACTGTCAGTGGGCATTCACTACTCATGTATTTTCTTACAGGAATATTCAAAGTGAAAAGCATCAAAGAGAAAAATAGGATAAGGAAGATATCTAGAAGCTAAGTCAGAGGAGGAGCAGATATAGAAGAAGCAGTTTTGCCTGAAACAGCAAAAACAAAGATGAAATATAAGTACTGTCTCAATTACTTGAAAAACAGTCATCTGAAAGAAGGAATAAGTAAGGTAAAAGTTTGATTAGACCTTACTATATATGAGGGAATGTTTAAGAACTTCATTTCTATGATGTCCAAAGGCTGATGTATCTGCTTAAAATAATTACAACAATATATATTTGTAAATGAATAAAATTGTAATTCTCTAAAAATGAAAATTATCCCACAATGAAACAAGTTGTTTCATAAGGAATTGTGGAAGGGAAGTGTCTCAGGACTCATTTTATGTAGTCTTTTCATTTTACAGACAAGAAAACCAAGGCGGAGAGTTAAATGATTTTCCCAAGGTTGTACAATTAGTAATGGGAAGCTGGAATTAACTCCAGGTTTTTCTGATGCTAAATTTAGTATTCTTTACTGTAGGGCAGGCTGTGAGCTACATGAAATTTAACATACGTTTACAAGACAGATTTGAATTCTAAAGTTATAGGGTTTCAACACTAAAATTTTGACTTTAACAACGTGAAGAAAAGCATTACATGTTTAACATACTTGTGGTAGAGGGCAGTTTTTGGACAAATGACCACATTTGTCACAATTTCTACAGGTAACGTTTTTGTTAGCAGAATAGTATCGGCGGGTCCATCTTCCGGATGATCTGTTATTACCTATCTGGGCCTAAGAGAGGGAAAAAAGTCAAGAATTAAAAAAAAAAATATATTTCATACTACTAAAAAAACTTTCCTTTTAGAAGAAAATCAGTCCCATTACTGTTTTAAAAAAATATTTATTTTTTTAGTTGTAGTTGGACACAATACCTTTTATTTTTTTATTTTTATGTGGTGCTGAGGATCAAACCCAGGGCCTTGCATGTGCTAGGTGAATGCTCTACCACTGAGCCACAACCCCAGCCCAGTCCCATTACTTTTTAAAGAAAAAACAATTAGTAGTCACATCTGTTCAATTTTGAATCCAGCAACAGAGAACTTCACGATCTCTCTCTCATTCTCTTAAAAAGGAGTAGAAAGACATCAAAGGGATACCATCATAAATATAGCTCTCTTCCTTTATGCCTGCTCTTTCTTTTCTGTTTACATTATTTCTTCTCTTTTCTTTTTCCACTTACAGTTCAGATCTAGCAGAGGTACTGATATGCATCATTAACACACTCTGGTGGCATTCAGAGTCAAAGTCATTGCTGACTTCTGTACCTAAATCTACATCACATATTTCCGAATGAAAAGCCTGCTTAAATTTTTAGTTAGGGAACAGAGTTTTTATGATGTTCTCTTTTATAGTTATGTAACCACATAGCTGCTAAATACCTCCCCACTTCTTTTGAACAGCACAGGGTTACTCTTAATGCCTAGAAGACTGCATTATAATTTCTAAAAGGAAAAGATCCATGCTGCTACATACACAGTTACTCAATTCTGGCTGCCCTATATTCTAGTCAAATTCTAATGTCTGCAAAGGAATATTAGAAAAAAATACATCATATGGAATACCTAAAGAGGAGTATATAAATCCCAACCATGCTTTTTTTTTAAATTTTTTATTGTTGGTTGTTCAAAACATTACATAGTTCTTGATATATCATATTTCACACTTTGATTCAAGTGGGTTATGAGCTCCCATTTTTACCCCATATACAGATTGCAGAATCACATCAGTTACACATCCATTGATTTACATATTGCCATACTAGTGTCTGTTGTGTTCTGCTGCCTTTCCTATCCTCTACTATCCCCCCTCCCCTCCCCTCCCCTCCCCTCTTCTCTCTCTGCCCCCCTCTACTGGCATTCATTTTCCCCCCTTGTATTATTTTTCCCTTTCCCCTCACTTCCTCTTGTATGTATTTTTGTATAACTCTGAGGGTCTCCTTCCATTTCCATGCAATTTCCCTTCTCTCTCCCTTTCCCTCCCACCTCTCATCCCTGTTTTATGTTAATCTTCTTCTCATGCTCTTCGATGCTACTCTGTTCTTAGTTACTCTCCTTATATCAAAGAAGACATTTGGCATTTGTTTTTTAGGGATTGGCTAGCTTCACTTAGCATAATCTGCTCTAATGCCATCCATTTCCCTGTAAATTCTATGATTTTGTCATTTTTTAATGCAGAGTAATACTCCATTGTGAATAATGCCACATTTTTTTTTATCCATTCATCTACTGAAGGGCATCTAGGTTGGTTCCACAGTCTTGCTATTGTGAATTGTGCTGCTATGAACATCGATGTAGCAGTGTCCCTGTAGCATGCTCTTTTTAGGTCTTTAGGGAATAGACCGAGAAGGGGAATAGCTGGGTCAAATGGTGGCTCCATTCCCAGCTTTCCAAGAAATCTCCATATTGCTTTCCAAATTGGCTGCACCAATTTGCAGTCCCACCAGCAATGTACAAGTGTACCCTTTTCCCCACATCCTCGCCAGCACTTGTTGTTGTTTGACTTCATAATGGCTGCCAATCTAACTGGAGTGAGATGGTATCGTAGGGTGGTTTTGATTTGCATTTCTCTGACTGCTAGAGATGGTGAGCATTTTTTCATGTACTTGTTGATTGATTGTATGTCCTCCTCTGAGAAGTGTCTGTTCAGGTCCTTGGCCCATTTGTTGATTGGGTTGTTTGTTCTCTTATTGTCTAATTTTTTGAGTTCTTTGTATACTCTGGATATTAGGGCTCTATCTGAAGTGTGAGGAGTAAAGATTTGTTCCCAGGATGTAGGCTCTCTATTTACCTCTCTTATTGTTTCTTTTGCTGAGAAAAAACTTTTTAGTTTGAGTAAGTCCCATTTGTTGATTCTAGTTATTAACTTTTGTGCTATGGGTGTCCTATTGAGGAATTTGGAGCCTGACCCCACAGTATGTAGACCGTAGCCAACTTTTTCTTCTATCAGACGGCGTGTCTCCCAACCATGCTTTTATCTCATTTGGCAGAATCCCATCTTTGACAATCTTCATCTTTTATTTGTTATTCTGCTGAACTTGCTAAGTAGGACAGTTATCTCTTAAAACTTCTATTCTTTTTTAGCATCTGTCACAAGAAGGCCAATATTTGACAAGGTCAAACACCTGCCATATCCTAAATATAAACTAACCATTTCCTTACACTGAAGAAGCAGTTATTTCCGGTGTTGATCTTTAGCAGTACCAGGACAGTGGGCTAAGAGGACTCATCAAGACAGAAGAAATAGAAAAGGAAAGAACCTATATCATTATGGCTATTAATCAGCTGATAAAAGTCAAGGCTGAACCAAATTTCTGAAAAGTTAAATCACTTACATACTGAAATCAAACTTTCTAAGCCATTTTGACTACTACTGTTTTAAAAACATTTGATTCTTTCAAAATTTATTGTGATGAAATAAAAGGAAACCTTGTATCAAAGGAAAATTTATTAACCTATAATTCAAAATTTTAAAAACAATTTGACTTTACCTCAACGTCTTTGTCACTGATGAACCAGTTTACATCATCTTCTCCTACAAAACAAATAAAATGTTACTCAACCTTGTCATCTTTAAAGCACTTACAGATACACAATAGATCATTCAATTTGTTAGTACTCAAAGTGGATTCTAGAGGTATAGTGAGAAATGCTAAATACCTTATTAAACTTTTTTTTTTAATCTGTGCTGGGGCTCCAGCCTTGTGCATACTATGCAAGTGCTCCACTACTGAGTTATAGCCCTAGACCTAAATACTTTAAACTCTTAATTTTGCTCCCTAATCAGTTGTGTGGCTCTCAACAAATACTTAATGCCTTTGAGTCTGTGAAATGAGGATAACAGTATTTGCCCTGTCTATTGATAATGTCCTATGAGAATTGAATGAGATGCGAAAATGCTTTGAAAGTCATTAATATAAATATACAAATATAAATTATCAGCGAAGGACCAACAATCCAAATATAAATTATCAGTGAAGGACCAACATCCAACAGAAGATGTAGAAAGAAACCTTATCTGAACTTCCTTATCTGACTCAAACAGAGCTTTACTGAGAAGCAGGTGTCCTTACCCAACCTTCCTGGAGGTGTCCAGTCATGGAGATGATGAGGTAACTGACTATGGACACATTCCAAAAAATTTGGGTAAACAAGTTTCAGCAGAATCTTCCCCACTATAATCCTCTGATCTCCTCAGTGAGTTACTCATTACTCAGTGATCCCACCAGTGTGTGAATAAACCTTGTCTTTTCTCCAGTTAATCTGCCCATTGTCAGTTAATTCCCAGGTCCCAATTTAGACTTAAGTTGGTAGAAATTTTTTCCTCCCAACATTGGCATTAATTGTGTCCACTAGCTATCCATCCTAGGTGACTTTCATTGTAACATTTTAAAAAACTAAACATTATTATGGTTAGGGATTTTGCACTGGACTCAATAATACCCAAAACAGTGAAATAAAGGACCAAAAAAAGGAGGCCAAATATCCAGAAGCCATTGATTATCAACCTAAAAATACAACTGTAAAATATAGAGGGGAAGAAAAAAAAAAATCACTAAATTTTTCTATATCAGCTGTTTTCTTCTTTTTGTACTGTCCTTTTAAAAACCTAGGATGGCTGCCATTCCTCTGGTCCTCCCATGGCAAAGGAGGAAAAGGACCTATGAGTAATGCAGAAGCTAAGGTGTCAACAAAGGACTGAAAGATTTTTCTTTCCCCCAAGGCAAAGTTAAGATTTCCTTCTACCTCCCACCTTACTACTTTCCTCTATCTGAAAAACACAAATCAAGTTTAACTCATTTCTTTGAAAGGAATTTTGAAGAGACATGAAGCAATCTACATTTTCCCAGGCCTACCAGAAGTAAGTGTCTAGAAATATATTTTTAAAATAAAATACTTTTACTAAGAAAATCATAAGGCTGCTTTACAAAAAGACCAATCCACAGGAAAGCAGAGATGCTGTGCTGATGATTATTTTCTTTGTAAAATTTGGAGGCTGCATCCATATACTGAGAGTGGAGAATACATTAAAAAGCAGTAGCTTGTATTCCTTCATCATCACCATCCATACTATTATTCTTTCATTCAAAAGATCCAGGTAAGGAACATGCTTTGCTCTAGCTTTCAAAGCTGCCTTTGGATCTCAGTGTCCTTCATCATTAAAATTAAAATTAAAATGACCATTTGAAATCACTTAATTATGAATGACTTAATACTGTTCTTAAAAAAGAAAGGAATGCAAAGCCAATTAAACGCAAAATAGCAACTATGACTATTCCAGAACTCCCAGTAAATTTACCCATGAACAGAGAATAGTGAAAAAGGGTGTGGGAGAGGGAGATGGATTCGATTTAGATTATTTTAACATTCTTTGAATTCAACAATATTCTAGGTTATTTATACTAATGACTCCTCAAAAAATTATAATGTATTCTTACTGTAGAAAATTTACCACTACAAAATAGACTTCAATTAGAAATAAAAGCAAAGTCATCACCAGGACTTTTAGCCAACTCCCTTCCCCATGTTTCCAAATTTTGTTTGACTCTAATAATGAAACAATGACAGTTGACCAGTTGACCACATCCCTTGCTTTTTCTTTTTTTTAAACTTATCCCACTCATGTCTAAACTCCAAATCCCAATCTAACTTGTCTACGGCTCATCAGAACAATTAGCCAATTCCCACTTTATTAAATTCTGGGCATGGGAACTGATAGAAACCTGGTTTCTAGTCTTAACTCTGCCTCTAATTTGTGGGTGGATGTGGTGATAGGCAGATTATTTACTCTCTCTGGATCTATATAATAATGAATATGAATATGATTAAATTGCATCCATGGTACCTTCCAGCACTAAATTTCTGTGATACTATCTAATTTTCTTTTATTGCTGCAATCAAATGCACTGCTACTTAGTACAATTTGCCTAATGTTCTGGCCCTTTGCAACCAGAATACAGTGCCTTGCCTTAGATACAATTTGCCACAGGGCCTAGGGCCACTCATCTCCCATGTGTCTTCCACCCAATTCATAGAATGTAAAAACAGGCCTGCCTAAAGTAAACAACTAAGATTGCCAAAGGATGCATATTATCAATTCTTAGCTGCTTTATAAAGCCTTGGTCTTGATGATATGTGGAATTGTGACTTTTTCCAGACTTCAGTACACTAATCAGGCAATAGCTGATATATCTTTCTTTGCATTGTATTAACTCAGTTTAGCAAATACCCACTGAAAGATTACAATTAACTAGGTGCTAAAGGGTAAACAAGGATGAATAAAAAGCTTATAGACTAATAGAAGACAAGGCGATAAATGAAAGAAGGAGTAAGAAAGAGAAAACCAAACAAAGGATAAGGTAAATTTAGGATTGATAATATTCAAATTCAAGAGAGAGAGGCAAAAAAGTCACACAAATCTGATCCATAAGAGGAAACTATTGAGGGTTGGGGTTGTGGCTCAGTGATACAGTGCTTTGCTAGCATGTGTGAGGCACTGGGTTAAATTTTCAGCACCACATATAAATAAATAAAAAAAAATAAAGATCCTCAAAAACTAAATAGTAAAAAAAATAAAAGGAAACTATTGATGTATACTTTACATACAATAAAATACAGTGTTTCGTTTTGACAAATGGATACACTCCTGTAACCACTCTAAAAATAAAATCAGTCCAAAATGTTACTTTGTTCATATTTGCAGTTAATCCTCCACTTCAGGCAATCACTAATTTGTTTTCTGTCACAATATATTAATTTTGCCTGTTCTAGGACCCCATGTAAAGGGAATCATACATAATGTACCATTTTGTCTAATTTTTTTCTCTTAACATTTATGAGATTCATCCATGTTGCTGGGCAGTGTAGTTTTGTTCTTTTTGCTTTTTGCAGAGTGGAATTGTGTTGTATGGATATAACATTGTTTAGCTATTCATCTGCTGATAAATATTTAGGTTGTCTCAAGTTTCTGGCAATTATAAACAGAACAGCACAATAAATGCAATAAAAAACTTTTAAAAAATTTACCTAAGCTTTTGATTTCCCTTAGGAAAATATTTAGGAATAGGATTGTTGGGTATCAAAAACATATTCTCCCAAAGGATTTAAAATCAGCATACTACAATGATGCAGCCACATCAATGTTTATAGCAGCTCAATTCACAACAGCTAAACTATGGAACCAACCTAGATGCCCTTCAATATATGAATGGATAAAGAAACTGTGGTACATATACACAATGGAGTATCAGCATTAAGAGAGAATAAAATTATGGCATTTGCAGGTAAATGGATGGAGTTAGAGAATATTATGCTAAGTGAAAGGGGTGGGAGGGCATGGGGAGAATGGAGAAACTTGGATTGGGCAAAGAGAGGGAGAGAAGGCGAGGGGGCAAGTGGATAGGAAAGATGGTAGAATGAGATGAACTCATTACCCCAGGTACATGTATGACTGCACATGTGGCATGACTCTACATCCTCTACAACCAGAGAAATAAAAAGTTGTGTACAATGAATCAAAATGCATTCTGCTATCATGTACTACTAATTAGAACAAATAAATATTTTTAAAAAATTAAAAAAAATCCCCAAAGGATTTTTCTTGATAAGCAGATGTTGATCCATAATGGGGTATGTGTGTGTGTGTGTGGGGGGGGCGGGTAGGTCAGGAATAATGGAGGAACTCTGGACTGGGCAGAAGGGAATGAGAAGAGAGGAGAGGATGTGGGGGTGGCAAGAATGGTGGAATGACAGACATTATTACCCTATATATATGTATGATTGCACAACTGGTGTGACTCTGCATCATGTACAGCTAGAGGAATGAGATGTTGTGCTTCATTTGTGTACCATTTTGACAAAATGCATTCTGCTGTCATGTGAAACTAATTAGAATTTTTAAAAAAGCATATCCTTCCTTTACTTTTGTAAGAAACTGGCAAACTATTTTCACAGTTGTTGTGCCATTTTATATTCTTATCAACAGTGCATGAGGGTTCCAGCAGTTTCATAATCTCATCAATCGCTGGAATTTTAATGTTAATCTTAGAATGGGTGTAAAACAGTAGTGAATTAGGATTTTTTGGGGGGGGTTGGTGAATACTGGGAATTGAACCTAGGGCCTTGTACATGAGAACTCTGAAAATGAACTACAGTCCCAGCCCTTTGCATTTTGAGACAGGGTCTTGATAAATTGCCCAGGCTGGCTTCAAACTTGAGATTTTCCTGCTTCAGCCTCTTGAATAGCTGGGATTACACACTTCTGCCACCACGCCCAGCTTAAATAGTGATTTTAATGGGCATTTCTCTGGAGATTAATCATGCTGACCATCTTTTCATCTATTTATCTGACATTCTTTATCTTCTTTCAAAAACCATCTGTTCAAAATTGCTGACCATTTAAAAAATTGTTTCCCCTTTTTATTGATAGTTTTCTTACTAACTTACAGAAGTTCTTCATAAATTCTGGATACAAGTCTTTTATCAGACAAGTTATTCACAAATATTTTCTCTCAGTTATGACCTGCTTTTTAATTT